TAGCAGGGATAAAGAATCCAGAACCACTGCACATTTAACTAAGTCTTCTGAAACACATGACACTGCTTTAGAGAAAGAAAAAGATATAACCTGTGAACGCCGTGTTGTGGTTAGAAGTCCCCAGAAATTGGAACTTTCACTTGCTAGCCATGATAGTGAAAGCTTTAGCCCAGTTGCAGATGACTCTTTGGCTGTAAGTCATAAAGACTCACTGGAAGCAAGCCCAGTGCTAGAAGATAACTCATCACACAAAACGCCTGATTCTTTGGAGCCCAGTCCTATGAAAGAGTCTCCTTGCCGTGATTCCCTTGAAAGTAGCCCTGTAGAACAAACAGTGAAGGCTGGTATTTTGGGGCAGGGTCCTCTTCAGTCTGTTCTTAGCAAAGGAGAAACCTGCCCAGAGCTGGCATCGGTGCGTTCCAGGATTCTCCGTGACCCTGAGGGAAGTGCTGATGATGACAGTCTAGAGCAAACATCCCTCATGGAGAGTTCAGGGAAAAGTCCTCTTTCACCTGAAACTCCTAGTTCTGAAGAAATTAGCTATGAAATCACACCTAAAACAGCAGACTCGCAGGCACTGTCAAGCATACCAAAGTCAGCCATGATCCCTGAAGTCAATGAAGAACCAGAGGACGATTCAGAAAGTGAGCCGAAGAAGAGATTCACCCCTGAAGAGGAGATGTTCAAAATGGTGACCAAAATCAAAATGTTTGATGAATTAGAACAAGAAGCAAAACAGAAGAGAGATTACAAAAAGGATTGTAAGCAAGATGAATCTTCTCTAGTTGCTGATTCAGAAGCTGCGTGTGAAGCTGAAGAACCAGAGTCAACAGCTGCAGAAGAAAAAGATATACCTACAGTGGTGATGCCTGCAGCTGAATCTAGAAAAAGTTCTTCCTCTTCAGAAAGTGAGCCGGAATTGACTCAGCTAAAAAAAGAAGCCGGCTCAGGCCTCTTAATGGAGCCTGTGATCCGAGTGCAGCCACCCTCACCGTTACCATCCAGTATCGACTCCAGTTCTAGCCCCGACGAAGCAGGTTTTCAACCCATTGATGCAAAACAGTGCTCTATCAGGATAGGTGCAGTTAAAGCAGAACAGGATAAGCTGACAGACGATGACAAAGAGGAACCACTTATCCTTGAGGGCAGCTGTAAGGCTTCCACAAGAGAATCAGGCACTTGTCATTCTGATGGTTGTGTATCAGCAGAAACCGACGAATCAAAATGTGGCAGTACAGATGACAGTGAGACAGTTAGTCCCAGTGCCCCAGTCACACAATCTGGGGGTACTCTGTGTCATTCCATTGGTGACAGTTCTCTAAAAGAAATTCATGTTGGGTCTTCGCTAACACTACAGCAATATGATACTACTGAAAAAGATGTCGATGCCACCGCGTTGTTAACACGCACAGATCTCGTTTCTACAGGAGCTGTGTCTGAGAAAGCAGGTGATAGTTCTTGTGGACACAGTACCACTGGGTGCTCTGTACCACAAGATGGCAAACTGGCTGAAGATGATACCACAGACCATTCTGCTTTGGGAAGTGATTTGGGAAAAGCAGATACAGATTTTGAAACGTCCCAAAGAGATATCCATGCTGAGGAGCCCTTACCAGAGTATTCATCCCTTACCACTGGAACAGTGGAACTTGAAAGTGGTGTAGCAGATGCTGCTGAAAGTAGTGCTCCTTATATAGTAAGCCCTTACGAAAACGTGTCTTCTGAACATTTCTTTACTGACTCTGAAAGCAGGGTAGGATCTAGTAGAAGTCTGCTATCTAGGGAAAACTATTCTATTGAGGAAGGAAAAGATCAGACTGGTGAAGCTTTACTTAGCAGAGACACAGGTAGTGAATGTCACTCTTCAGAGGAAGTTTATATGGAAATAGAGCCAAAACCAGAGGATGAATTTCAGAAAATGTCACAAGGGTCTTCAGCCTCAGATTCTACAAATTTAGCTGAATCTGCCCTTGGGGATATAAGAGATGAAACAGAGAAATTGATCAGTCAAGTTGTCATCACTAAAACCGATGTGGATTCTGACATGTGGAGTGAAATACGTGAAGATGACGAAGCTTTTGAAGCTCGGGTGAAAGAAGAGGAACAAAAGATATTTGGGTTGATGGTAGACAGGCGGTCACAAGGCACAACACCTGATACTACACCGGCCAGAACACCCACCGAAGAAGGGACACCGCTTAGCGAACAAAATCCTTTTCTTTTTCAGGAAGGAAAGTTGTTTGAAATGACTAGGAGTGGAGCCATTGACATGACCAAAAGGAACTATCCAGATGAAAGCGTTCACTTCTTCCAAATGGGGCAGCAGCCTCAGGAAGAAGTTTCTTTATCTGAAGAAGTGAAAGAAGCAGCAGAGGTGGAATCTTCTAAGCTGAAGAGCTCACCAGATCCATTCTTGCCTTCAGAATCAGAGGACTCAGATATACAAGAAAAAGATACATTGAAATGTTCACCCCCAGCATCTGAGTCTAGTGATAAATCAGAGGAAATGACGGGTGAAGGTGTCAGCGTAGGCACCACAAAAGCAGATCTTAAATCCAGAATTCCGATCAAAATGGGTATTTCAGCTTCCTCAAAATCACCAAAGAAAGAAACTGCTGCCTCTGAAGCTGAGCCCCTCTCCAGAACGGAGACTGACATGGTTGATAGCAGTCAGGTGCCTTGCCCTATCTCTCCTGAGCGGTCTGTAGTAGAAGATGAATTAGATTTTTCCAAAGTCACTAGATTAGTTTGTTCTGAACAGGGTGATGAGTCCCCAGACTCTTCACCAGAGGAACAGAGATCCGTGATTGAAATCCCTACTGCTCTAATGGAGACAGTGCCTTCCTGTGAAAGCAAATCCAAAATTCCTGTAAGAACAGCAGCTGCTGCATCGCAATGCTCGCAACAATCGGAAGATGAGAGCCTTCCCACAGACGGCTTCCTAGACAGCTTGCAGTGTGAAGGAAAAGATGACCAAGCAAAACCAAAGTCTAAAATTCCTGTCAAAGCAGCTTTCCAAAAAGCCGAACAACAATATACATATGCAGACGCATCTGTCCGCAAGCTAGAGTCACCCAAAGCTCTTGACATGACAAGCAAACTACCTATGAAACAAGATAACCGAAGTAAATCTGAATCTGATGCAAGTATTCCCATGGACCCAAAGACTAAACGTTCAATAAAAGCTAGGAGTTATGCTGAGGCAGAAGCAGAGACCAGGGAGAGGGAGAGAGAGATGAAGCTTGAGCTAGACTCAGATGAGGCAACAACAGGAAGACCCAAGGTATTTTCATCACGGTTGCCAGTTAAAAGCAGAAGCACTACAGCCTCCCGCAGTGCTTTTAGTCCCACAAAAGAAAGTAAGGAACATTTTTTTGACCTTTACAAAAACTCCATAGAATTCTTTGAAGAAATTAGTGACGAAGCTTCTAAATTAGTGGAAAGACTCACGCAGTCAGAGAGAGAACAAGAATTAGTTTCAGATGATGAAAGCAGTAGCGCCCTAGAAGTTTCAGTTATTGAAAATGTGCCATCCAGTGAGACTCAGCAGTCAGTTCCTGAAGACATCTTTGACACCAGACCCATTTGGGATGAGTCTGTAGAGACTCAGATTGAACGTATCCCTGATGAAAATGTCCATGACCATGCTGAAGGTATTTGCCAACGACTGGGATTCCCTGTGCGACGCATGTCATGAATTAAACTTTTTGGTTTTTTCTTTTCTTTGGGGCGTGTGTGTGCGTGTATGTATGTCTGTGTACACGTGTAACGTGTGTGGCATTTTCTTTTAAGCTTTTGGTGGTTAGTTGTGTATTTTTTTTCCCCTGTGAGCTGTGTTTGGTTTTTTGTGTTGTGTCTGTATTTTTCTTGTCTGTGAAACAATCTCAAGATTGCAAACCATGAATGCTTACGGGAAGTGTTGCCTTAATAAACAAAAACACTTCTAAAAATATGTATTGTTTTACCATTAAACTGATTGCTCAGGTCATGCACATTTTGGCTTTTGGCTTTCCCTGGCCCTATTGTTAACTATTAATTTTTACTAATAATGAAATATGTGGGCATTGCTTAAAACTGAGACAGGCAAATTCATTGTCTTTTGAGTTGTTACACAAAGAAATCTGCAGAAGTTTTAAACAATTAAGTTTTTCACGTTCCTTTTTTTGACAATCTGCATCTCCAGAAAATTCTGTCTCACCAGTAACTTTAGTCCAAGTTTTCTGGTGTTTGGTTTTCCTCTCATCTACTTGTGTACTACTACTGAGTAGCCATGATGGAAATCCAGTAGCTAAAATGAAACATGCCTATGTCATTAACCCTAAGCAATTTTCTGAACCTGAGATATCGCAATCCATGTGTGCACTGAGGGAAAATCAAAATTCAAGTTCTGCCATCCTCAAATTAGCTTTGGGGATGGGAGGAACAGTCAGTCTCACTGTTACCGAAATCAATGAAGACTGGCGAATGAACGTCTGATTTTTCCTTGCCTTCATTGTAAGTATTTTGTATCACTCCCTAGTTGAAAGAGTCAAAGACACTTAAATTAACAATATCTCAAATACAAACCATAATATGAAGTGCCATGCGAACTGTTCGAACAAAACATTCCCTACAACAGAAAGAACATAATTAGAAGCACTAGTCCAGATGAATTTTTCAACCTTGGCATTTACTAAGGAAGCGTGGAAAATTATGGCTCTTGTCTCAGTTAAAGTCTTCAATTTAAGGTTAGATTTAAGTTTTAGAATAAAATGCTTGATTTTCAAATGGAAAATGTAGCTAGTCCTGTGCTTTTTGAAAAATCAAGTTGTTTTTTTGTTGTTTTTTTTTTTTAACCTGGGGTTTTACAGTCCTCACTTTAGTTACACAGTTGTACCAGCCTGTCCACATTTAGATTACAGCAGTTAGAAACAAAAGCGCTTTCCCTTCTTGGGCTGTATCACCTATGAAAATGGTTTTTAACTTGTAAAACGCAACTTGTGGCTCTCTTTGACCTTTAGATCAACAGGATGATCAGGAAAGGACAGAGGAAAGACTGGCCCACATTGCTGATCATCTTGGATTCAGCTGGACAGGTAAAAATGCATGTCGTGTACTCCAGAGAGAAAGGAGGGGAGCATTCCTCGCTTTGTTCATGTTTCTTTCAGATCATTTCCTAATTATCTAAAGATGTTTTATAGAAATATTTCAGTAGCTTACTGTCTTCTGGTTACTAAGATTCCTATAGCCTATTAGGTAAGACCTCAGGTGCAGAGGTGAGGCCTCTGCACTTGCTGTGGCATCTCCAGAGGGAAAACTGCTAGGATGGGAGAGTGACAGAGAACTGGCATATGTTACTCTACTCTTTCTTGCAAAATGCAACAACTCTGGCTGGAAGATAAATGAATATATGAACAAACATCATCTCTGTTCTGGAACTCCTGAGCTGGAAGGCCACTATAGGGATAAATTACATCAATTTCTTTTCTACAGAACTGTGCTGAGGAAAAAGGGATGAAAAGGGACCTATTTGTAACAATTGCTTTAATATTGTGGATTTAATAGATCTGAGACAGTTAACATTACTGGGGACAAGTGAAAGTAACACAGAATGAAATGCAGATGTCTGTCACTGAAAATCAGCTCGAAAGCATTTACAAAGAAAAAGAGCCACGCAGAAATCTCAATGCTGTGTCAAACTGTGCAGTCCAACAAAAAATTGCTACAAAAAATAAAAATAGGGTCTACACTTTTTTGTATCTATCCCTACAGCAGTACCGCGCTCCTGAAAATAAGCAAGGCTCTAGGACAGTTGTATACCAGAGAAAAAATGTTAGCTCCTTGATAATGAAGATTGTGCTCTCTACTGTTTTTATAAGCATCTTCAGAGTATATGCAAAACATCACTGATACTTTTGCTTATGTTACCTCTTCCTTTCCTGTCCTCTGTGTCAATCCATAGAGAAGACTGGGAGCATATGTCACTCATCCCAACATGGATTATCTTGAAATCAGTAGGGCTCGGACCTGTGCAACATAACACATTAGGAATCTGCTGAAAATTTTATATTAATGAATAGACAGTTTGGAAAAGGAAACTAGAAAAAATGGATGCTCATCAAATTAGACATTAATGTTTTGTAGCATTTTGGAGAGAGCAGGGTAATACACCTGCATAAATATTCCTGTCTTACATTGTGGTAAAGATTGATTATAGTAAAGATTACTATGTCAAATGTTACTTTGGGAAATAAAATAGTGGTTATTTTTTGTTCAAACTACCTAGAATTTGAATCCAATGTGTAGTTACTGTATATTTGTTGAACTTTACAGTTGCACCAGTTTACAAGCCGGCCTGGGAATAAGGTTATCTGGGGTTTGGGGTTAGGGTTCCCTCCACCCTGTTGAAACATGACACCCTCCAAAATCAAGTCCGTGCCACTATAGCGATAATGACAGTGCAATAGAATATGAATCCTTCTTTGTGAAAGAAGCAGAAATTTGGAGACCAGGAATGACAGTAGGAATCTCACAAATTCTCCATGGCTTTAGCTCATTTGATGACCTGCTTCAACAGTTGCATCTTAGTTTGGTGATGGCAGAAAGCTGCTCCTGGTTCTGGACACAATAAAGATGTTACAGACTATTAAACCATTTCTCTTTTCTGGACTGCAGTCTGAGCCTATGCTACATCAGAAAGACATCAGTTATTCTTAGTTTCGTATTTTCAGTTTTTGGTTTTCAACTGTAATTCATAGACATTTACATTTCTTTAAATGAAACAAGTCCAGGGGAGTAGTAGTAGTATGCTTTAATCTAGCCCTACAAAATGCCATTACTTAAAATGAATTCTTTTGTTAGATTTTGATCAAAGTTTCTGAAACAGTCAACATTTCAGAGGATGGAATCTGCTGAGCATGGTGCTCTGTAGCTAGAAATATTTTTATCTGCTCATGTGCTATTTCTGCAACTGCACTCTATTTGATAGCTTGTCACTGCTGAATTTTGTCAGTAGTGTTGTGCCTCTGAGAACGAGGAATGCTAGACACAAAAAATAAAAGCTCCCATGGACCCATCACTTCTAGGCATAATGCATATCTGTCTTTGTCATGAACTTACTGCTTAACAATGTCTCTAAATATAACACAAGGTACACAGGAGCAACGAGAATTTGGTTTCAGAAAAGTTTGTAATCCACTTTGCTGCTGACAGCCATAAAATAGATGTAAGGTGGGGAAAAAGAAAAAGACACCTTTACAGAGATGGATTTCTTTTTCAGAGCTAGCAAGAGAACTGGATTTCACAGAAGAGCAAATTCACCAGATCCGAATTGAAAATCCTAATTCACTTCAAGACCAGAGCCATGCACTCCTCAAATACTGGCTTGAAAGGGATGGGAAACACGCAACAGGTTCGTTTCCAGTTATAGTACTTAAAACTGTCTCCGATTTGCTAGTTGAGGTGACAGATGTGTGATATAATCACAAAAAGAAAATGTGGGTAAGATTTAGGCTATAGAAAGAATGAGCATAGATTGTACTTAATTTTTTTTTAAGCTTGTCTGTATAACACGGCATATGAGGATTCTCAGAGAAAATAGTTCAAGCTTGTTCATTTGAGGGCAAGGCAGAACATCTTACAGCAAAGAAAGAGTGGAAAAAGGCCTCTTTTTCCTAAGCTGAAAAATGTTTCGGGAAACTAAACAAATTTGTTAAAGGAAAAAACAAAACGAGTGGTAATTTTTATAGGCAGCCTTTCAGTTAATTTTGGATTTTACGCAGCAATGCTTCTAAATGCATTGGTATGGTATACATGACATTATATTGCTCAGTATCCTATATATGCCTTTCATATGGAAAACAGAAGGGAGAGAGCATGTGCAATTCTTAACTCAGCTACATGGTGTCGTTCTAATGCCACAGATACAAATCTTACCCAATGTCTCACAAAAATCAACCGAATGGATATTGTTCACCTCATGGAGACCAGCGGCATAGATTCCATGCAGGTCCACGGCACTCGCACGTACGCAGAAATTGAGCAAACAATAGGATTGGACCATAGTGAAGGTAAACGTCTCCTGATCCACACTGCCCAGGTTATCTAGTCTAAGCACTAGCTTCTGTTCCGAAATGTTTGACCAGGATAATCCATTAACTCGTATGACTGAATGCTAGAACCTCGTTTTGAAAGCACAGATAATATGGATGAATGCAAGCATGACATCACACAGGCATAAGATCTCTGCATTAGCTGATTCTTGTAAAGCAAATAAAGGAATGTTGTCAGAAACTACTGCAAATACTCATGCCCGGTTTGTTGCGGTTTTTTTGCTTATACAAGTACTTTCATAAAAGTTGAGAAGGTTGCATTAGGATTTGATCAAGATTTGTAAAAGGAAAACTACTCCATGCTTTGGAAAAGCCTTTGGATTCAAGGATCCAGGATATTGTAATTCTGCTATGATTCTGTTGGATTTCTTAAGTTTAAAAGTTCAGTAGATTAGATGAATACTTGTAAACTAAAGAAACACCTCCAAATTATGTGACATAAAATTCTCTTTTCTGGAAGTGATACTTTTACATCCTTAACTTAGTATTGATCTAGTAGCTCGGTAAAGTATTAGACAGCTGCAAACATCCCATCTTTAAGAGAATGTAGGAATAGAAGGTTGTTTGCTATAATGAGCCTTCTAGTATCACAACCGATTAGTTTTAGAAAGTTAACCTCTATGTCCAGCTCAAATTTAATAAAAGCAGTTATGTTTTCCCCCAAGCTATCCTTCACAGTTCAATAGGTTCCTAGTGAATGTGGCTGGTAAGGAAAAACAAAAGCCCAAGCTTGTTACTTGTAGCCTGTGGAACAGAAACACATATATTATTTCACATTTTTTGCAGAATGAGAGTTCTTGCTTTGAGATTAGGGCTTGGGGGTGGGTGGATGTGTTTATATGCTTTGAAGCACATAAATCAGCTAGTTCTTGCACCTAGTCCTCTATGAATTTCTTTGTCCATACTTGTGTAGTTATTTTTTCCATAAGCAGATAAATAAGGGCGGGGCGGGGCGGGGAGAGTCACTGAAACCTATCGTAATCTACTGGAAAAAACCTGTTGTGAATCTTCTTTCATACTTTGAGGGCTTCAAGCTTAATTACTTTAGGGAAATTTTATTTTGCCTGTTACTGTCAAGATTCATTATTTGGCAATAGTAGTGGTAATCCAGTGTTTCTGCAGCTACTTAGAGAGGTTATATCCTCTCCCACTCAAGATGTCTAAAATTTTCAGGTAATGTGTTCCGTCCAGGGATTTTAAATGCACATGGAGAATGAAAAGCATTTCTTGCATTCTAGTAAGACTTGTAATGACATTTCTCATCTCTCTGTTTTTTAAAGGGTTTTCTGCACTGCAAGAAGAAGTGTACAGTTCAAGACATAAGCAAGAAGAACAACATAGACTACTATCTAAAGACAGTGAGCCAACTGAACACCCTCCTATTGTCTCTGAGGAAGACGTGTCTGTCAGTTATTCTCCTTTTCAGGACAGTACTCCCAGGAGTGAGGCAGAAGTATCAATGGCTGAGCTCCTGAGACAACCACAAAAGGAACAAGTAGAAGCTGAATTCTCAGGGAAACCCCAAGCTGTGCCAGAAGAAACATCTGCTCCACAACGTGAATATTTGTAAGTGTCAAAAGACCAGAATGAAACCTATGTGGAACAGATTCTCTCTCCTCTGTATAATAAGAGGATTTTACAGTTTTCTTCGAAACGTATGAACTCACTAGAATTTTCCTCCAATTGTGCGCACTAGTTCATTAGTTCCTACTGCAGGTTTGACTTCCTAATCCATATGGAGGAAGCTGTAAGGATTAGGAGAGAAAGTCATTTTGTCACTTTGTGAACACAAAGCAACGATCTAGTGTAGTACATAGAAAAGAAGGATAATGTAGAGGTGGATTTTTTTTTTTGCAAACTGTGTATATATTTCATATGTTAGATGGCAAGTAATGTTAAACTTAATGGAATTAACACTAGAGGGGCCTTTCTTCAACTTCGGGATGGCTTTTTCAATTGAGGCAAAATTTTCCAACTTGATCATTACTTACAAAACTCATAACCACGCATTAGGAACTAGAATTTTAAAAGTAAATTTCAGATGGCCAAAGGAACAGAAACAGGGTTTTATACAGACAAGACAAAAGTAGTTAAGGGAACAACACGTGATAAAGTATAGGTTTACAGGACCTGCACAGCAAAGCCTTGAATTCTGATTTGGGGCTGTCAGTGGGGTTGGTTTCATTTGGAAAGGAACTTGAAAGGAACTTGAAAAGGATCATGTTTCGTTCTTCCCACCATCCCTAATCATGCGCCCACGCTGAGAACTCTGTGCAGGGTTGAGTCAGGTGTTCACAGGCTAGCAAAATATCAAGGATCCCCTTCCAAAGAAGTGTGATTTTCCTGGGAGTGATTAGCTTTGATGTGGAGATGCAGCTCCAAACAGTCAAAGTGCAGTTGAGTCCAGCAAATGGTCTTTTGGGGATCCTTTTGCTCAAGATATGCTTTATGCCCAGGAGAGAGTGTGGGAGACAGAAAACAGCATCTAAGGTAGAGGACTTATGTTGCACTGATAGGCAAAAATACCTATACTTCCTGGTGATTTGCATGAGGAAACGAATGTTTTTGAGGAATAGAGAATACATGTGAGACAATATTGCCAATACTAAATGAGAGTAGTGATGACAGGGGAATATCACTACACTTCATGTCTAGTTTGAACTAGGAGGAAAATTGGGCTAGATTTAAATAGCTCGTAAGGAACACATACTAAAAGGAATTATACAATAATATGTATAGTCTGGTGAATGGGAAAAAAAGGCTGGATCAATACTGTTTAACTTATACTACAATTAAATATTTTCTTACTTTAGAGCACAGTTGTTTCAAGGGCAGTAGCTGGGGGAGGACAACAAATTGTCCAAACTCAACTTGTATCAGAAAAAAACATATACATTCAAGTTATTCTATTACTGTTATTATTACTGTTACCTACTCATGGGACTGGTTATAGAGAAGGGAATCTGGACTCCTATTATTAAAATGTAACGATTTCCTCAGTTAATTTTTAGGATGAGAGGGCGAAAAAAGGAAGCATGTAGATGCTAGCTCCAAAGCATCTCAGAAGTTTTAGAAGTGGAAGATTTAATTTTTGCAGGCTCATTATTTTTCAAGCTGTAATGCTACCAGTTTTGATATAGTTGTCTTTTTTTCTTTTTACCAATATACATGAAAATAGAAAAGTCAACCTCAAAAGAAGATTCTAGGTGGTGAAGCAGGTAGTGTTTTCACAAATCAGAAGTGACTTTTTTAAGCTAGTATCAGAGTTATAAGGCTACTTGATAAAACTCAGTTAGATGAGAGTTAGCTTAATATCTGAAGTCACTATTATTCACCCATAAGCAATAGAAAAATATTGCATGTACATATGCTTTAATATATGTATTACCTTTATATATATTACATAGGAATGCATGTAATAGTATGTTTAAATAACTTGCAATTAAATCATAGCAATGTTCAACAGTGAAAATAACACTACAAACAAAATAAGATTCTCTACTAAATTTCTCTACTAAATTTCTGATAAGGCTCCAGAATTCTACATAAAAGTTGGTCTCTCCTCACCTAGAGCTGTATAGCTTATAATTAATGTAGTAGTTGCTTCCCATCCATCTGTAGTGATCCAGTCTCTCTCCCCAAAAAAATAATAGATAATATGTAGATTTGTGAGGGCATAAGTGACAGCAAAGCTCTCATAAAGCCTTTACGAACACCAAGTTTTGCAGAATTGGGTGCAACATTTGGACATCCATTTGGAGATTTTTGTGGGTCGGGAAGATGAGAGGGATGCCTAGTCAGATTGCTCTGTAGTTATTGTCAAGGAGTATCAGTTATTTCTAGACTTTGCTAGGTGACAGATGACATAATACTTAATCAGTGCATAATGTTCCATTTATGGAAACTGGAAAGCACTGCATGGTAGTAACTTCCCTTGAACCTGTAATTCACAGTGTCACAAGTCCAGGAACAGAGCAGTCTACAGCCCCAGTAACTGGAAAAGCAGCGAGCGAAAGATCTGCACACAGCAGTGCGGCAAAGGAAGAGAGAGAAAAACCATCCCCACAGCCCCCATCATCTGCTCAGAGAGGTGACTCTCCCATCATCCAAGAGCCCGAGGACCTCCAGCTCCACCAGGATGACCTCTCTCCAAGGAGAACTAGTCTAGTGATAGTGGAGTCAACTGATGAGCAGACAGAAAAGTTTGGAAGAGGCTATGAAGAGGAATCTTTAGAAAAGGTAAATAGCAGCTTTCCCTCAAAGTCACTGACACAAAAGAACAAGTTTTGTCTCGCTCCTTCCTTAAGATGAGAATATTTTTAATCAGCCTAATGAATCCCCGTCCGCACTGAGTCTTTTCTCCTTTCCTCTGTGGCTGGCTATAGTCATTTGTGTAGACGTTTTCAAAGCTGAAGCAAAACCCAGATCCTAAAGTCTAGACTGTAATTCTGGTTCTGCTACCCTTATTTGTCCTTTGGTCTGTGGCAGTTATGAATTCGTGTAAAGAACAGATGCAGAAACAAACCATGTACAAGTGAAAGCTGAAAAACAGATGTAATGAAAGACAAAGTAATAACATTAAAAGCTTATGAAGAAAGGCAAGACTAGCACAGAGCAGCATGAAGGATGACATGAAAAATATTGTAAAGTTAGTGAGATGGAAAAGAAGGAGCAGGATGTATGTTGCAAAACACTAAAGATGTACTGGAAGAAAAGAACTTGCGGAGGGTGTTTATGTAGCATGCAGGCAATAAAGAGAAATGGAGACAGGAGATGGAAAAGAAGAACAAAAATTATGTGAGGTAGGTCATTGGTTGTGTAAGACAAAGGAACCTTATTGCAGTGTTTGGAGAGGGGAAGACGTCAAGAGGCAAAGAAAGCAAGCAACAATATGGCTGTTAGTGGGGAATTTAAATTACTTGGCAGATAAAGGTTTAAGAACAAACAACTTTGCCTGTTCTAAGTGGAAGAAAAGGAGAAGGCGTAATTGGGCAGGAAATCAGTTTTATCAGTTAAGTTAGAGCAGCGAAAGCACAGTCTACTTAAGCAGACATTGTTTCTTGTTTTGACATTCACCTAGAAACAGGCTCTTCTTTCTTTGCTGCTTATGGTGCCAAATGTACCACCTCTAGAATGAAGAGTTTCAGAGCTTTGCGTCTGGGATCTCAGAATAAGGCTGAATATAAAACGTGTGGGATAACTCAGATGTTGAAAGATTAGCTACAGTAGGACTCCATACAATGGCTGCTGTAGGAAAGGCTGCTCTCAAAGATAATGTACTTCTTTTTCCCTCCAGTTCTTTTATTGAAGTAAAACAACAACAACCAGCACCACCAAAAAGAAACACACACACACACACACCCTTCTTTATTTTCCCCTTGATGCTTTTATACTTTTATATTTCCCAAGTAGTTATTTTCAGCTTCTCTTTGCCTTCTGACCTCTTCATTTAAATTTTTAATTCTTCCTTATGCAGGAGAGAGAAGAACTCCAACGCTTGTTACTAATTTTTCTTGATCTTTCCAGCGCCAAGGCTATCGATACATTGTCCTCTAGTTCAAACTGTTTAGTCCTACTGTCTATATGCTGCACTAGGTACTTCCCGGTACAGAGGATTAAAAGGCTTTCATATAATTTTCTGTGTAATCAATACAGAAACCATATGCAAGATGTATGAATTCCAGAGTTGGTGTTAGTAATACCTTCTAGCCTACCTGCAATGACGTCATGCCACAAATGTCAGGCTTGTTCCCGGCAACCTTAAGAGCACTAAGAGCATCCTATAGAATTAGTACTACAAAGATTCATCCTTCTTTTTTCAATATGCTAATGAACAGGCTAATGCATAGTCAAGTGGCCGAAGCCTCCCACCCCTCATCAGTGTTTCACAGATAAAAGTCAGGTAAGAGGCCAAAATCCTGAAAGCAAAAATTTTCAGAAGTGAAGATGGTTTTAGATAAAAACAAGACAGAACCTGTAAGTACTGCTACTACCACATACAACAGAGCACTGCTTCCATGCTTTCACTAGGAGTTAGCAGAGGAGTTAGGTGAGCTGGAGACCAGCTCGGATGAGGACGAGATGGTCACTACCAGGGTCGTTCGTCGCCGGGTGATTATTCAGGTACAGAGTGTTGACTGATTGCACGAGCCTGTGGTGACTGGGCCCTGGTAACACCTTTAGGCATGCTGCTGAGACAACCACTTGGATGGGATTGCACCTGAAGTTGGAATGCTCCTGAATAATGCACGGAGATTGGATAAGCCATTCCAGTACCTTTTCTTGAAGGGAGGATTATAGTAATACTGCTAACCCAACTCTAAATTCCATTAGATGCCTCAGTAGAAGGAGGACAAAGACTTCTCAGTCCCATACACAACACAGTCAACTAACATCTATTTGCCTGTCCATTGTGGCATAACTTTTCTTTGCATGCCTTTCTAAGTATTTATTTGCAGAACATTTTTTTTTCTAACATTTCTCAATTTTTTTTTCATTCTTTATAACCAATTAACCCATTTCAAAATTGCGTATTTAAAGTTACCTACCCAAAGGCCTTGCTTCATAAAACTTTGTTCTTTGTCATACAGGCTGATAGTATGCCTGAAATGCCACCAGAAACAGTCACAGAAGAGCAATATACAGATGAACATGGCCACACAGTGGTGAAGAAGGTATTGTCTGTTATGCCCCTTGCTACCTTCTTACTGTCCTATAAAAGGGAGGATAAATACATCCACATACATGCCAAATTTTCTTTTGTGAAGGAGCATGATTTTTAAAAGCGGAGCTGGGAAGGACCCAGAATTTCTGTTCATGTGAGAGATTCCAAAGTTTGAAGAATTATTTTGATTCGCAAGATTGTTCTCTGTTACAGTTTACAACTTAACACGACATATTTTGTTATTTTTCCCACTTAAAGCCAATGAAAATTCTGCATAGATCCACATTTCTGAGAAAAAGTTTTAAAAACAAAACAAAACAAAAAAAACCCCACACCACAACAATTTTCTAAGATCACGTTTGCTTGTATTAATGAAACTAATGGAGGGCTGGGTCTGCAAGAGTCATCTAAATCCAGACTTTAGATCTTCAAAATCTCCACTTAGCTGTACCTGACCAGGTTCCTAAATTTCTGTATCTGTACATACAGTCCAGTTTTTATGGCACAAAGAATAGAGAAAGTACTTATTTGTGTGATGGCCTCATAAAATAAGCATTTTCAGACCATGCTTACAAAAGTGAATTCTGCACAGCATGGATGTGGAAGAGGAACTTCTGTGCTCCTTGCTTTATCTGACAACTTAGTGCTTAGAGAAATGGTCTAGGACTTGGCTGAATTCTGCTGGTGGCAAACTCCATCTTCTGTCTCCCAAGAAAACATCGTAGATCCTCACCTGGATAGCCTGTCTCTGCAAGCTGTTTGAATTCATATTAAAATAAACAACCCCACCAAGTATTCTTGGGCACATGAGCATGACCCTATTCTGGGGGTAGGTCTGTGCCTGGGAGGGCAGCACACCCCCACCTCTGCGACTCTTAAATAGAGGTGACCCAGTCTGAGTGAGCATCACAGCAAATAAGCTTTTGGACAAAGCGGGAGGTAACTGCTTAATGTTACCTTGTCAAAAGGGGCTGGGAAGGCATACAAAAATGTAGAGCTCCAGGTGATCCCCAGAGGGAATGCATACCCATCCTCCTGAGAAATTTATCTTCTCTTGAACCCTGTAATTCTCTTCTGCTCCTCTTTGTTTGCCTTGCCAACACCTAGAAAGCTTAAGCACCAGATTAGTCTCCTAAGTAGGTTAATTCCAGCTCACTAGTTCAGCAGTGGTTAGTACCATCGGCGTTACAATGTGATGTGAACCTAGTTCTAAGCATTTGATAGCCAAGCTGCTCACCTCTTACTTTCAGAAACCTTTTTGAAAATGCCAGTCTGAAAATGTTTTCTAGCAGTTGTGCGGTTGTGAAGTACGTTTTCTCTCTAAAACACTATACCTCTTTTCCTAATAATAACTACTGCTTGAGAGAGCCATTCCATATTGAACCCACTTGTGAAGTAAGTTTACGGAAGCTTTGCTGTGTGGTAACCTAAGTAGGGCGAATACATCAACTTGCAGCTTTACTACAGGTACTTGTGAGTATATGTGTTAGAGGCTAAAACACTGAACCATCTCTGTAGGTTTTTCTGTGTAGGAAAAAATGCCCTTTGAGTAGAAAATACTACATAGAGACTAAGAAGGAATATGTTATTGTTAATTCTTTTGGGACAAAGCTCTATTTCATTCCTTCAGGTCACTAGAAAGATCATCCGGCGATACGTTTCTCCAGATGGCACAGAAAAAGAGGAAGTCCTAATGCAAGGAACGCCACAAAACCCTGTCACTGTCGAAGAAGGCGATGGCTATTCCAAAGTCGTAAAACGGGTTGTGCTGAAGAGCGACAGTGAACAGTCAGAGGTCAGATCTTCTACTTCCCTTGCGATGCTACAAAGCAGCAGTACACCAACAGTGTACTTAGTAACTGCGTCTTACTCATGCCAACAACATTCAGTTTTGAATGATACTTTAAAACGTTTTCTTGCAGATGGAAAGGCCTCAGAATAAAGACAGGGAAAAGGCGGGGGGTGGGAAAGAGGGCAGACAGGATATAGATTCTGCGATTTATGAGAAGTACCGAATTCAAAAAGAAAGCAGCTTTGTACTAAGATGACATACAGATAAATGGCAAATCTGTATTTGTTATTATACCTGTTACTCTAATAAGAAAATCAGTGAATGTTATAATGAAATGATCTGATGTTCTCTAGGTTTCTACAACTAAGCCCTTCTAAAACTATACGGTTATATTAGGTTTAGCTTACTGGTGTGTGCTTTGCTTTGAAGAGGCTAAAAAAAAGTATTCCTTTCATGCAAACTGTTTGTACAGCCAGGTAATTAAAAAGAAAAAACAACCTGAAAAAGTAAGTGCTTTGCAGTTTATCTTTTCCTGCCTTAGTTCACCATGTAGCCCTACAGACATTTGTATCAGCAAAATTAAGGTTGTGGCAGAGGGCCAGAAGCTACTAATAGGGCTTGCTTTCAGCAGTTCTGCAGTTGAAAGCAACGTTTAACAAGCGGTCATTAAAAATGCTAAGAACATAATTGCCATTCTCTCTTGCCAGAATTAATCATCAGAATTAATTCTCTAGGAGTAAGGTAACAAGAAAACAAAGGAATTTTTTTCAGTTAGCTTACCGGACCAGAGCTACTCTTTATCATACGGAACCCATATACATTAAATTCGTATTTTGCCAAATAAAATCGAGTTTGTCGTTTTCCCATGGCATTCTAATATTCTGGTCTGTTGCTCCTGTAAGCGTTCCTTGGTTTTACAAGTGTGACTCATCTCTCGGAAGAACATCTTAAAATTAAGATATGGGCTGATACCACTAATTTGTATTCCCTGTGTGAATACAGCAAGGATTCACAGCAAGAGGTCCACTTGTTACTTGGTGTAACTCCAGTGGCCTTGGCACGTAAGCCAGTACGGCAGCCTGTGGTGTGGTGGAGGGTAGCGATAGCCCTGCCGCCCTCAGGCTAGTTCAGGTTCCAGAAGCAGTTTTCACCCTGCCAGCATAAAGCTTCTCAGCAGAATAAATTATCCAGGGCTGTTCCTGCTGTCTGAACCGGCACGTTATCTTACAATGTCTCGTTCTGGAGCTGTAAAGCAGGTAATAAAATGCACACTCACTATTCTGATGCGTACACGTAGAAAGTGAGACTCTTCTTATGTTCATGTTCTCTATGGCAATGATAAAGAAAGAATGAGAGAGTAACTAAAAGCTTTGTTCATATCTATTATGTAATTCCTATCCAGTATACTTCTGCTTTCTAACCTCACAGGTGACTCTGTCTGAGCCTGCTGTTTTGCCTAGTGCCTCCAAATTCCAGTCTGAACCAGTGGAAGGCCGTAAGGTCAGCAAAGTCATAAAGACCACTGTAGTGCAAGGAGAGAGAATGGAGAAACACCTGGGGGATGCTAGCTTAGCTACTGATCTTCCGTCAGCCAAAGAGGACTTTGAAGAGGTAAAAATGCCTTTTAAATATAAATATTTTTAAAAGTGTCACAACATACCTGGGGACAGTCTACTCTACTGAAAGTTTTGTTGGTGGAGCATCACGCTCAAGTACTGAGTATAAACCTCTGTTGTTATACGCAGCCATGTTATAAAAGGATTAGTATATGGGGGAGGGGAAGCTAACATTACAGAATCAGCTATGAAACATTTTAAGATTCTAAAAAGCCCACAGAGACTTTAAGTGAAGTTGTTAAAAATCATGGGTGGGGTTACCATTAAAGAAAAAGTTAATTCATATGTTACCACGCATGGAGCTAATTTTAGAAATTGATACAATTTCTGGGTAAGCTGATGTATTTGTCCTTGAAAGGAAGAAATAGCTACCTAGCTAATTAGCACCTTCCCTGTTTTTATGCTTTTTCTGATCAGTTTAGACATTTCAGTAATAGAAGTGTGATATTGAATTAATATAGCTTTTTCTGTAAGGAACTGATAGCACTTCACTCTTAATCCATTTTATTGTCCCTTTGAATAACACGTGTAAAACATCGTAAAGGTTCACGTGGATAAAAGTTTTGTGTCATTAGATGCAATGTAAGTACTTGGCTTCGTTTTTTAATTTGAAAAAATATCTTATAAAAACATAGATGCAACAATGACACGGTCTGGATATTTTCTGCTGTACAATGCTATTATAGCTTGCAGGAAGACAAGCGCTAAACTATTAGATTGAGATGCCAAATTTCACATTACGAATCTAGGCCCAGCAGCCAGATCCCTCTCTTCTGACAATAACAAAAGAAGCAGCAAAAACTGTCATGTAGAGGTTCAAAGAAACGGCTTGGGAAATAACCCTTTTTTCCCAGCTTGCAGCTTCTAGTTTAGTAACTCAAGCAGCCTGTGGAAGATACCACAGACAAACCCACATCCAGCCAAAAGGAAAATAAAAATGCTGCCTTTTTTCCTGTTTTTCTGTTTTCTATGAAGTATGTTCTGTGGAAAAGCTTGCCAGACTCCATTCCCTGCTTCTCCCATTTCAGTACAGTCGAGGCTCAGAAGTATCACCCACCATTTCTACGTATACCTGCCTCTGTACTGCTGCCCAGGCAGCTCGAGGTGGCGGTGGGAACAGCTATAAAAGAAAGTATTTTCTGTGGCAGGAGAAAGGTCGCTGTAGCAGCTGTCATAAACACACATAAAGGATGAGTGCTGCAAGGCCTTGAGCTGGGCTACTTCAAAGTTGAAAAGAAAGTACCAAGACATGCTTCAGTACAATTATTAGCAAAATGAAACTATCCTATACAAGAAACTGGAACTGATCTGTACATTTGAGGAATATTTGAAAGGATGCAAATGGCAGGCAGATGCTTCTCGTAGTTCTCTATTCATCATTTTCTCAGCATTCAACTTCATTAATGTAAAGCACTAAGGTATGAAGAGCAATTATCTTTTGTCCTAGGTTTTTGGGGTTTGTTTTAATTTGAAGTTTATGTTTTAATCCGAGGCTTTGAGCTATACAGGTAACCAAATGAAAGTCCAACTCCCTGCTTTAGTAGAGAAAGAAATCCTGAAAGAGGACGGATCAATTATTAAAAGGTTTGGCCTGGCATGTCAGTGAACCGTTACTAGATAAGGATTAACAAACTCTTAATAAATGAGTGGATTTAAGTGAGTGTCTGAAGTGAAACCACTGGCAGCATCTAAAGCCTTATTTGCAAAAGTACTAAAGATTACTACTAACATTCTGTCACAGGAAGGGATATAGGCACTGGAAAGGTCTACGTTCACTTGAAAAGACTCGGTGAATAGGGGCGTGGTGGGTTCACGTCGGAACGGGGCGGGAAGCGAATAGGAAGAGCAAAAGTGAGAAAACTCATGGGTTGAATGAAGACAGTTTAACAAGTGACGGAAAGAGGGAAGAACAACCAAACAGGTGATGAAAAGGCAATCACTCGCCACCTCCCACAAGCAGATTGATACCCTGCCAGTCGCTGAGCAGTGGTCACCTTGGAAGATATAACCCCTTCAGCCCCCCAGCTTCTTCCTCTACCCCCTGTTTTTATTGCTGAGCATGGAATATCCCTTTGGCCAGTTCGGGTCAGCTGTCCTGGCTGTGTGCCCTCCCAATCTCTTGCCCACCCCCAGCCCTACTCACTGAGGGGGCCAGTGGGGGAAAAAAGAGAAAATATCGATGCTGTGTAAGCACCGTTCAGCAGTAGTCAAAGCATTGGTCTGTTACGAACACTGTTTTAGACCCAAATGGGCAAGAGTGCACTACGCAGGCTGCTCTGGAGAAAGTTTACTGCATCCTGGCTAGACCCAATGCAAAGGGGTAGCGCTGCCTAGCTGATTTCATAGGAGGCAATACAAGAATCAAGATCAAGGTTACTTCAAAGATTTTTTTTTTCGTGCCAGTTGACTCTGTGTTCATTTGATAATTTGAACATTACAAAAATAGATGACAGGATATATGGAGATAGATATATATAGATACATGCACGTGACAGTTGAGTCTTAAGAAAAATGAGGCAGGGCAGATAGGAAAATACTTAGGAGGAAAAAAAAAAAGCTACTGTAGTACAGCAAGTGTATTCTTTCCTACCACAGACAACTTGAGCCATGGCTGCTACAGGCTAGTATCTTCTACGAACCATTTCTTTCAGACCATTTGAATTGATAGTGGCCTTTGGGGTGGTAAAGCCAACGTTAGCATTTGAAAGAGCATCCTGACCAAACCGAGTCTGTAACCCTAACAAGCTGTAGAACACATACCGGTTTCAGAGTTAGCGGGATGGTGTCACGGGGACACACTGAGAGCCAGACGACCTGCTGCATCTGCTTTGGGATGAAGGGTACGCATTCTTGTCCAAGTGCTCCATCTGACGGGGGACCTTTTGGTCATTCAGGTCAAATTAAGAGGTGTCAGCTGTCTGATAAAAATCAAGCTATTCCTGGCTGAGCACGCAGGAATTTCCAAGCGTGCTTGGCTTCCCGTGGTCCTCTCTCAAGGATACTCACCAAAAATTTGGCTTCTGGGTAAGGCTAAGAAAGAGACACCCAGCTGTCCTATGACAACTTCATTTATTTCCCTAGATCTGGAAGGGACTTGCGAGGGTTAAGGTTCTGACTAGTTGAGCAAGATGGTTCCAATGAGGTAAGAGAGTAATTAACAGCATAGCTTAGGACACTAGATTCCCACAAATGTAGTTTTACTGATGGTCAGAAGTAAGACTTGTTCAGAAGTAAGTGTTCAAGAAACTAATTAGCTTAAATTACTGTTGTACAGGACAACCCTGTATGTCGAAGTTAAACACAGCAAATAGGAAGGTCTTGTGTGAATTTCAACGTACGTTGCATGTCTGTGTGTTACAGCATGTTTTTGCTGGGCATCTAAAACTGTATGCTTAATCAGCGTATAGAGATTAATTGCTATTAGTTTACATTATGAAGGCCAATTAAAGCGGTGGTGTGTGTTGTATTCAGAATGCATAACGAATATCTGACCTCAGTAGCTGGTTTAAACTGCGAGCTATAGTTGTTCTCATGTTATTTGGAATGAAAAAGCCTTAAAACTGCAGCTGAAAAGGAGCATTTTTTAAAACCTTCAGGAACTGTGGGCTTTTTAAGACCGTTTATTTTGTTTTAGGACAACGCTGAGTAAAGCCAGCACGCAGAAGAGGACTGTGATGAAGGATCGGTATGGAAAACATGTTCACATAGAAGAGCTGGAAGACACACCAGAAGCACTACCACAGGATGACCTCCAACATGACCTCCAGCAGCTTCTTAGACACTTCTGCAAAGAGGACTGGAAACAGGAGGCGAAGTGAGAAGCTGCCACCCCTCAACAACACCACATAACCATCCATCCCGTACGCAGCATTCATCTTCTCTAGGTGTAGACATTATTACCTACATAATCACTGGAAGACACTGCCATTTCTACTTGTGCAGATGCAGTGAATTCATTTCTTCCCCCCCGTGTTTGATTTTGGGTTTTTGTTATTTTTTACCCCGTGAGCTAATTTGTGACCAAAGATATCATCCTTCATTCAGGATGATTTATCCACCAAATCGTCGTCTTTGTGCTGTACTGGGAATTTGTCAGCATCGCCACTTCTTGCTGTTCCTTTGCTTCTGCACTAGCTTCATGAAATCGCATTTGTCAAGCGAACTTCATCTACAGGCCTCTTCAAGTGACTATGTACATGCACCATAAAAAAAGGGAGTTAACATGTAAACTGTATATAGCAAGAGTATTTGGACTTACAAGACTGCAGAAAACACACTGCCTATGACTACAATTAGCATCATGGATTACAAGGTCTATTGACACTGCTGAAGAGCGATTAATAAGATAATGTTAACACAATCGACTGCAAACACAGACTGACTAAGGAGGAAGCACTGCAGATCTACTGCATCCATAAGACTTCCAGTTTAGGGACCTATTATAGTTAAAGGCTCTAAGAGTCAGGCTAAAAACCTGGAAATTCAGCTGTTCTCACGAAGTAACAGCTGACCGTGGCCATTAATACTTCTAAGACCTTCGGACAGCCACTTAAAGATTTCCAGAAAACGAAAAGAAAAGGAAAAAAAAAAAAAAAAGAATACCCAATTAGGTAACCAACTTGCTAGCAGCTATATCTATGGCACATTTGCATACGGTATTAAAATCTTTTAGATCTGGACATGTGGCAGGGTGTATTAAACAATTATAACTACAGTAGTTTCCTGGTTTCATCACCGCTTAGCAAACCACACCGTCTTATTGGTGGTACCTCCTGCTGGCCACTGCACTGTAGATAACTATGGGAGAAAGACTTACCCACGATACAAGGAGAATAATTGATTCACCGTGTTTTATCGAGATTGCCTCTTATCCGATACATGCATGTGGCATTTGAAGGTCAAAGCCAAACCCTCCTATAATCACGTCAGCTTGTTAGCCCTCTTAGCACTGAGCGAGCAGTTTTTATCTTCCAATCAAGTGTTTTTTAAAGAGAAAGTGCTCACAATCCTTGAAAGCCAGTTTCTGTTCATATTTTGTTATCTATCTATAAATATAATATATATATTTCTAAACCAACCCTCTGAAAACCACGATAGCATGTCTGCACTTTTCTTTTCAAAAAGGGAACATAAAGATCTGACAGTTGGGTGTTCTCTACCTTAATATTTAACGGAAGGAGCTCTGTAGTGTTTTAGCATATATAATACACGCACGCACACACACGCACACACTAAATGTTTTTAAACAGCTGTTTGATTTTTTAATAGTATACTCAAAACCAGAGTAAACCAAATCCTCTCCTCTAGGAGTAAGACTTTTTCCAAGCTTATCTGGCCTTCTACGATTATAGGGTGGTTTGGTTTTTTGAATGACTCACTCAGCGCTCAGAACAAGGGCACTTCCTCATTAAGGTAACGATGCCAACAGCATGAAAACATCTTGGGAGTTCTGGCTTCTTGCAGGCAAAATGACCCAAGGTGCCATGCTGACACTTTTTTGGCAAGCAGGAAAAAAACAAAACAAAACAACACGAACCAAAAAAAAAAAAAAAAAAAGAAGTGTTTTGGCAGCCAAACCGAATGAGACCCATGATGAAACATTTCACAACGCATCATGGCTTTCTTCTTGTCGGAGACAGCACAGGATGATCTTCAAGGATGGGGCTCTAAAGAAATGCATTTCTGTTGTGTTATTTGCGGTGCAGATGATGTTCTGTGTAACAACATAATGGTTATTCACCTCTTATTTTGATTTTTTGCTGTGTTATCAAAGAACTTGAATACTGTGAGAAGAAGTGAATTTTAAGTTGACGAATCAGCATCTTGTTCCCATGGTGATAACACTAATTGAATATATCTATGAGGGCATGTATTAGTTAAAAATTAAAAAAAAAAAATACAACACTAACAATACATAGCTGCAATGTGTACAATGGCTGATTTAACTAAATAAAAATGTACAAGTGTTAAATGTAGAAATAATGGCTCACTCTCTTTTACTGCCACTGCAGCATAAAAAGGAACGGCACCCATTTGGGTGCCTCAACTGAACTATCATCATTGTAATTCCTCTGGACCCAGCTCCCTGAGATAGATATATTTTTTTTTTAATTCTGCTATTCAGCACTGATTGGTGTCAGTCCTTACAACAGTCAGATACAACATTTTTTTAAATCATTGATAACAGTTTTTCAAAGGGTATCTAGCCATGTTTTCTACTTATTTTATTGGACCTGAAATTGTGGAATTTTCCTTCAAATATGGCCCAGACTGTTACAGTCGGTTACTTTTTCCGTCCCCACTACTCAGAGTTTCTCAGCCAGAGGAAAGACAGGGAAGAAAAACATAGGGTGAAATTCTGTCACGTCTCACGTCCTTGTAACACACAGAAAATATTGGGAAGAGTCTGTTTTGTCACCGATTTAAATTTATTCGATATCAGTCCGTACCAATTCTGTTACTGCAGCTGGATCCCTGGCGAATGTAACAGGTCGTGCTGCCGCAGCATCCCCTCTCTCTGCTGTTCGCTCGTGCGCTACCTTCACGGCCGTCAAAGGAGTCCTCCGACCTACGCCTCACGTAGCGGGGAAACCGTCAGTTTAAGCAGTTTCTGTATGCACCAAAATTCAGAGTCATTGAACCTCACGGATTAAGGGGCAAAAAGGGCCCAGGAGAGGCACGCTTGAGCTCCCTGCCGAGGCCAGAAGGATGCCCGCGGGCCAGAGCTCGCACCCGGGGCACGGGAGGTCCGCGATCAAACCACGGCTCAGGCAGTCGTGGCCATGTCAAGGCCCACACATTCGAGGTGAAGACCTAAGCCAAAGGCTGCTGACTGTTTCCTCTCTTCCCCCTTCTTTTCCCAAAGAAAGACAATTGTATTTAAAAAAAAAAAAAAACACAAAATCAAACAACAAAACCAACTCAAAACCCCACCTTAAAAAATACCACCCTGCCACCACAAGCCCATGACATGAGCCTGAGGGCAAATAGGAAATAATTGCAGAACTAGCATTTGTAAAACATGAAAACAACCTTTTTTTCCCCATGCAGATCTATTAAATACGAACACAGAGCAGATAAAATGTCTTTATTTCTGCCAACCTATGGATCTGAGAACACGTGTCAGTAGTAGAGCGACAGTAGTGGCTGTAATACCAACATATTCACGCGCTCCCTTACTCCAATTTATTAAACGAACTTTGGAAGATGAAGGCCACGTGAAGCACAAGGGGAAAGAGGGCGCGTGGCAGAGGTAGGCTACCGGGGGTTTTAAAATGCTTTTAAATCCTAGCCTGACTGGTTTCAGCCTCACTGTCAGCACTTCCCAATAGAAACACTGTTTTGCTGAAAGACTTTGGCCAGTTCTGCTAAATAATACCTGAAAGTAAACACCTTTGATGAAGTCCCATTAATTATTTTTTTTTTAAGCAAACATAAGTTGTTAAATCCAGGGACGAACCTTGCGCTTGTCGCGGCCTGAGAAGTGGCAGGATTAATTCAGGGACTGACTCGCTCTTCCTTGCCACCTTGGAAAAAGGAAAGGCTTTATACCAGCATCCCGCCAGGACCTGTGCTTTCCGAATCACGCTAGCTAGAACACATTTATTTACGACTCAAAGAATTAAAAGAGCCAGAAAACCCCAAAAAACTAACAACTCATCACATACACAAAGCAATGAATTTTGTAGGTACGAGATACATACTCCACACACTACAGCCTATCGTTTCAGGCCTTCGGCAGTGAGCAGCTTCAAAGAACAAGATCTTTCCCTGAGGAAATAAATACAAATGGCTTCACCCACAGCGTCACCTTAAAACTGTCTCCACCATGCCCCAGCTATGAACCTTGCGATCGCTGCGAGGACGCTGGCACAGAAAGCAGCATTTCAGAAAAGCCCAAAGCTGGACCAGTCATCGGGTCTCAAAATTATCTGGTAAAGAGGACACCAGTTGTTGCAATTTTTGTCGCTGAAGCGTCAACACCAGAAAAAGCAGCTGTACCCTCAGTCTTTGCCATCCTTTTTCAGTGCCCCGCACAGATTCGGTTTCTCTCCTGAGGTCTGACCCTCTTCTTTTTGGCAGCGACAGCGGCAGCGGGCGCAGCCCACCGCAGCCTTTCCTCTCGGGTCTGCTTTCAGGGGGTCTCTGCAGAAAAAGGGGGTAAGGCGAGCTATTTGGGAACGTGTTTCTGACCCATCGCAAGGACGCGAGGAATATCGCTCGTTCTGCCTGCACGCCACGGGGCTGTTCAGACCCAGGGCAGTACCCAGAACTGAATCTTCTTTAGCTGTTAAAAACATCCCAAATAAACAAGGACACGCACCCACGCAACAACCACCGAACACAAAACCCACGCCACCGCCGCAACCCTGGACCCGTTTATCCCATTAAAGCTAAACCAACATTTCCAGGACCAGCTTTTGGATTTCAGTGAGCGACTCCCTTTCCTCTTTGAATGCTTTTCGAATCCACTCCATCAAATCAACGTCCCTCTTGGCCAGACTTAAACTTACTTTTTTTTTGATGAATCTGACACCAGCTTTCTTTAAATCAATACCTGAGCGATCGTTACATGAGCCCAAACATTGCTGTTGCTGAGCTCAAGGATAAAACAGAGCACCCCTGTCAACCTACTTCCCTGTAATTATGGGGTATTATTTGTAATTATTCTATGTGTATAATATATGTTCTATTATGTAATTATTCTAAAAGTGGCACACCATTTAAACGCACATAATTGAAGTGATCGAAGCACCGGCACCTACGGCCAGCTGCAATGCGCCAGAAGGCACGGTGTGCTCAAAACCTGCCAGATTTGTGGCGCGACACCACGGCTTTTCCTGAGCTGATACAGTTGAGTAGTAAACGTAGACCTCGCAGGGAAGGCAAGTGGGAAGACGTTACGTTTGGCTAGGTGGTGCTCAACTTCTATACAGCGGAAGGGTAAAGATCCAACAAGGACTCTGTCCTACGTCAAAATAAAAACCAGAAAAGGATTTTAAAAGGGCAGAGAAACACACAGAGAAATATCTCAATCCAGTTCATTAGCTCGTGTTTGTGCTTTGCTCTTCGTGGTTCAGCAGGAGACTGACCATGAACATTATCTCCTCTAGCAGGTGACTGACCATGAACATTATCTCCTCTTCACGTTCTTACGTCAACGTGACTCCATAGCAGGAGCTGTCAGAATAATGGGATTAAATTTTAAAAAAAGGCGGCTGTAAAAGGCTCCAGCAGTGCTGAAGATCAAGCATTCCTCATAGGTGCATTACAGCGTCCCTTTGCATCCTCGAGAAACGAGATGCTGACTCGTTGGTTGAAAGGCGGGAGACAACGTCCAGCAATCCCCCACAAGCCACCACATCGGCCTGGTGTTTCTGAACCAAGACACAGGTACCTGAGCAGCGGAAACAGATCCTCCCGCTTGGCTTCGCTCTTGCTGGAGGGACCCTCATTTCACATACAATACGTGGAAACGAGACACAAGGTGCTGAAGACCCCTTTCCAGCGTTCTGCCTGTGCCGAGTGATGAAACCCAACCTTGTCACTAGGGGAGACGTGAGCTCC